GTATTATGAGTGCAGGGAATATATATAGAAAGGAGGAAAATAATCTATTTTTCCTCTCCCTATTTTGTCTTCTTTCTCTTATTCAGAGAAGCTGATGGGCACTCCAAGCCTTCCCTCCCTTGGTGTAGCCAGAGAAAAGTGCAAAGCTTCTAACTAGGAGAAACCAAAGTTAATGAAATGTTAATAATTTGCTGCAGGCTTATTTGGCTCATTTCAAAATTCACAGAGACTACACAAGCATTTTGAAGGCATGCATCTACCTTCCCCAATCTGGCACCCTCAAAACTGGTCAGCCTGCAGATCCCACCATCCTCAAGGCAGAAAGCCTATCTGCTTGCTTGGGGATGATGGTAGTTGCAGCCCAACATGTCCAGAGTGTATCGGTTGAGGAGGGCTAGCCTAGACTTTCAAACAGACTGTTTTGTGCACTAAGGTCTATGTAGCATGAACACAAGGCTTATAAAAAGCACTAAGGATTCTGAGCATTATTCAGTTGTAAAAAGTAACTTTCCCAAGCTCTAAATATGCACCTAAACCCACAAAGAGAGAGTGAAACAAGGTGAGATACACTGAATAATTCCACTTTTTGCTACTGATAGTGATCAGTTCTTTCCAAGCAGTTTTGCATATACAGTCCTTCATGAAGTAACAACAGGCTTGTGATAACATAGGTATAATGATTTAATCATTCACAAAAAACAAAAAACAAAGCACAGTCTCTTGATACAGAAAATATAATGCAAAACTTTCTTATCTGAAGCATCCCTTGTCTACAATCTTGGAGAGTCATTAGTTCATACTAATTTACAGAAGTAGCATACTCAGATATAATGTCAACCTCCCTTAGTGCAATTCCATTTGATTTGTATGACCACTGTGTCATTTCGATTACAGCAATAAAAGCCAGGAAAAAAAAATAGAGAGTCACGTGTAAATCAAAGTTGGAGAGGATGAACATTTTCTCTGCATGGAGGCAAATAGTGGCATAATAATTTAAGAGTGAATTTTTTTAAAAAAAAAACAGGGAATCTGGAAAGAAAGGTATCGCCAGAGAATATCCTATTGCTTAGGTCCAGTTAATTTACAGAGCTGATGATGGAGAGACGGATGGAAAATCCATATTCAGATATACTGGAGAAGGAAGGTTTTCAGGAGCCAAACCAGAAAATTATTATTTATTTTCAACTATTCATTTTAAACTTCAGATTCATGGAGCAGGATGCCTCTACCAACACTAATACCCATGCCAGACAAATAGAACCTCCATATCCAGAGGCAGTATATCTCTGAATAAGTTGCAGGACAAACAACAGGAAGGAAAAGGTATCTGCTTAACACTTTGTCTTGTTGGCTTCCCAGAGACACCTGCCTAATTACATGGACACTCATGGAATCAGGAGCTTGGAAAGATTTTTTTTTTCTGAGGGGCACTCTAAAACTCCCAGAATCCCCCAATCCACACAGTCATTTTGGGTGCTATAATCCCCTTTTTCCCAAAGGAACCTCTTTGAGAAGGACTCCTAATTTATCAGGGTCCTTGGTATATTTTTAAATCCAGCCTTGGCAAGGCAGTTCTACTGATGTCAGTTCCTGGATGCTTTGCAACTTTTCTCAAACAAAATCTGCATCGCCATCTGGTTCCACAGCTTGAATAACTTACTTTGTGGGCTACAATTTCCAGAATCCCCAAGCTAACCTGGCCAGCAGCCATGGAGAAGTTGTAGTTTTTAAAAGGGACTTTTCCAAGTTCTGATCCATCCCAACTACTCTTCTCTGCAGCAGAGCCAGTGTGCAAATTGGCTGTCCATTGTGACAGTTTAAGCACATTCTCACTACCATTTCAAGTCCAACATGCCCTTGCAAATAAAATGGTCTAATGAGAAAAGATAGATGTCTGCTTGGATACTGAGCAGCAGAATTCTAAAGCCACAATCCCAGGTTCTCTATTGATTTAAGGAATATAACAACACCACAGACCTGCTGTCTCTTGCCTCTTCTCCCTCGTCTTTGGTGTCTTCTGGTAATGGCTGGTGACTTTTGCATAACTGGGGTGATAAAACCACTCCTGGTTTTAGTCCAAACTTTACAGTTATTATTTAAAAAGTATAGCAATAGCAGTCGAATTCACATTTCTATACCACTTATCAGTGAACCCACCACTCTCGAAAGTTTACAATTTGTAAGCCAGTAGGATTTTGTAAGTATAGAATTTTATCCCCCAAAGTTCCTTTAAAATTTATATTAAAATCCAGAATGGATTCACTGATATGGAATCTGCTAGCTATCGATGGTATC